TGACTGTGGTAGAAGTGACACTGAGAGACTTCTGAGGCCAAGTCATAAGAGGTGACACAGTTTTCACCTGAAGCTCTCTCTTGGGATATGCACCTTGGCTTCCAAGGCTAGCAGCTACCCTGGGGCTGCCATACTGGAGGGACCAGGCGGAGAGGTCACGCAGAGTAAGAGAGAGTTGCCTGAAGGCTTCAGATGTTCAAGGCCCAGCTGTTAGAGTCCTCCCGGACCGGCCACCAACCATGTGAAACAGTGAGCCTGCAGATATTCCAGGCCCAGCCTTGAGCCACCCACACGTCTGACACCAAGTGGAGCGGAAACCAGCTTTCCCCACTGAGCCCTGCCAGGATTTCAGATCTGTGAGCAAAATACATGTTGTTTAATCCACTGAGAAGTTTTGGGGTGGTTTGTTACACGGCAGAACAGGGAGGCACCTCATAAATATGTGTTGAATGAATATTTCAGGACAGGAAGAGAAAGGGGAGCTTGCAGAGGAGACCGAGGAGTGGTCAGGAGGTTGGAGGGAATCAGAGAGTGTGAGTGAGTGGCCCAAGGGTGCACAGCAGGCTGGTGGCCAAAACTTTAAGTCTGGCCTCTCCTGACCACTGCATTTGTATTTTGCCTCAGATTTTTATTTTTTCTTCCTTCCTTCTTTCCTTCCTTCCTTCCCTCCTTCCTTTCTTCCTTAACTTACTTAATTTCTTCCTTCCTTCCTTCCTTCCTTCCTTCCTTCCTTCCTTCCTTCCTTCCTTCCTTTTATATTGAGACCAGCACGCATACACACAAAAAGCCAGGAATATGAAAGTAGAAAATCAGGACCAAGGAGAAAAGAAAGCAAACACGCCAAATGATAGGTTGCAATCAATGAGTCTCAAATTTGCCTGAGTTTCCTGGCATCTGAAGTAAAAAGAGAAACTAGGCAAGTTTTTCAGTTCTCCTTACCAGAAAAGTGGAACTTTGCCAGTTCCCTGGTGAGTTGGATTTTCCTGACACCAAGCTAGAAGAAAGCTCTGTGTACCCTTGGTGTAAGGCAGCGGTTCTCAACCTTCCTAATGCCGTGACCCCTTAATACAGTTCCTCATGTTGTGGTGACCCTCAACCATATAATTATTTTCATTGCTGCTCTATAACTGTAATTTTGCTACTGTTATAAATCGTAATGTAAATATCTTTTTGTTTTCCGATGATCTTAGGTGACCCCTGTGAAAGGGTTGTTCACCCCCCAAAGGGGTCGCGACCCACAGGTTGAGAACCGCTGGTGTAAGTGGTGCTGAGTGACATGCCTCCAACAGCAAGTAAGCACAGACATCGTTTCCTTGTTTCTCGTAGTAGCTTCTTTGTTAAAAGCTAACCCCAGAGCTCTGAAGCCCAGAATGCATCCTGACATTTTTACAGAGAACACAGGATACCATCTCACTGGCTCAGGTCACAAGCATCTAAGAATATGTTTAAAATAATGATTTCAGGCTCCTCTTTCGGAGAGTGAACCCAGGAGTCAGTGGCCTGGCAGTTTGTCTCTTAATAGTCACCCTGGGTGATGGGCATAAGGCAGGTTTGGGGTCTCCTGCCTAAGACCATCTTTCTTAAATCTCAGGGAAACAGACAATCAAGCAAGGCCTACTGTTCACCGGGGCCCTGGAGCACTTTGAAAACCAGAAAAGCAGTGGAGGACTGACAAGGGACCAGTGGCTGGCTTCACTGAGGCCCTCTCCAGGGACACTTCATCACCATGCTCTCTAACCTTCACAAGCTGGTGAGACACGTCATGGTACCCCATTTTACAGATGAGAATGCTGAGCCCGGGAGGATGCTGCCGCGGCCGGGTGGAGGCACTGAGGTTCAAAGCTAGGGTGACCCACCAGGATCCACTGAGCTACATGCTGACACCAAGAAGAATTCGGTCCTCCTGGCTGTGACACACATCAGCCTTCCACAAACACAGCCCAAGTCTCACATGTGACAGTATAATATTTACGCCTTCAAGAAGCGTGTATTGAGCACCTACTGTATGCCAAGTCTGTTCCAGCTGCCAGGGATGCAACAGGGAACCATACCAACCCAGTGTATTAACTATATTTAACTCTCTATTAACAATATTTTTTTTATTTTCTGTATTCTTGACGCTTAGGCATCTGGGGCCTCACTGCTGGGAAGCGACTGCCCCTCCCAGGGTGAGCTGATTCCTAGAGGTGGTCAGTGGTTGGCCTGCCATCACGCTTTTCATATGCAAACCAACCAACCCTGGGTCTGTACCCCCAACTTGCCTTCTGTGTCTGGCTTTACACTCCAGGAGGCAATATTCCTCTGTCCTAATCATCCCAGGGCAACTGGGGACCACCCCTATGGCCCAGAGCCCCTCTCCAATTATTCCAACTCGCCAACCCTAAGCCTGCTCAGCAGCGTGCCCTGCCTGTCTATTTGTTCCCTGGGAGGCCACAGTAAAGGCTCTTGTCACGCTTCCCCTCACTCTTCTGCCTCTTGATGGACCCTGGTGCTTCCTTGTGTGGCCTTGCGTGGCCTGCCATGTCCCCTCCTCTTGGAAACTGTGAGTAACAAACTACCTTTTTGGTGGTAGTATCTGTTCTGTTGGCCTCACCACATCTGAATAAAACCAAAATCCTGGGGAACATTTAAAAACGCCTAGCCCTGCCCTCTTAGCCCACAGAAACGGTTCTAGCTGGTTGATTTCCAAAACAGGGAGTCCCAGGGAGCCCCAGCACGGCCCTGGGGTGGGGGTGATCCTGGATGGTGTGGCAATCCCAGCACATGCAGCTGGGGAGCCCTCGTTTTCCCACATACCGCGGGGCCCATGAATGTGGACACGGGAGCTGAAGAGATGAGGCCAGAATAACAGAAAAGGGGCTGGAGGTATCCAAGACGACATGTGGAAAAAGATCATTTTGTTCAAACTCTCTATAATTACACTTTTGAGTGAAAAATGAGACTCCACAGCAGCCCAAACCTGACACAAGTTTAAATACTGAAGTATCAGATTTCAATCTTTTGAAGGACCGACAAAACTCTAGAGAAGTGGTCTCCAGAATAACTAGCACTGATGTCCCAGAAAGATGACTCAGCCTTAACCACAATAATGCAAAGCTCAGAGCCAAGCTCCAGACCGGAATCCCTGCTTGCCAGCAGTCCCTGGGAGCACCCTGCAGCAGCCGCTGAGCCTTGGTTTCCTGGTCTGTGAAGTGGGGAGCAGAGATGCCCTCGGGCCTTTCCCCCCGGGCCGCCCGCCCCTCCACTCTGGGCCTTCCTCTCCTTCTCCCAGGAACCCTCTCTCCAGCCACAAATGCCCTGGGTCTCTGATGCTTTGACTCAAGTCACTTCTTCTGTAAAACACCCTCCTCGGCCTGCCCCTCCACTCGGCGGACCCCGCCTCTGCTGTCTTCTTGCCACCCCGCTCCCCATTGCTTCCACTTCCTCAGCTCCCCTGCCTGATGCCCCTGCCTCACCAGCTCTCACCCCCAGGCGCCCTGCTGCTAAGCACTGGATGCTCAGAGACCTTCACCTCCCCCACAGCAGGGACACTGCTGATCAGTTCTTGAAGGACTCTCATCTCGGGTCTCCGACCACGCCTGGATTTCCTCCTGTATCTCCGGCTGCTCCCCACTGGGCCCTGTGATGGCATCTCCCTTCAGGACCCCACGGGCCTGTATTCCTACCTGCAGCTCCCTCCAGTCCACCTCCCACTTAGATGCTGCAAAGACCAGGTGCATCGTTTCCCGGGATCCCTTGCATTCAAGTGTATGTGGTCAAGTAGGTGTGAGACTCCCTCCCGGAACTGCGCAGCTATCTGGTGACCACGAGGGAGGTGTGACACGGGAGACATTGCCTCTGGCTTGTCTCAGACCATAGCCCTGTCCGTGACACTTAGTCACCTGGGCCCACTGGAGACCTTCTGCTTCCTCAGAACCCTACTCCAGTGAGCTTGGGAGGGAGGTAGAGCCTGAGGCCACCTCCTCGTGCACATGATGTGCACGCATGCCCTTGATGTGCAAGTGTGTATGCCTGCTCCCAGCAGAAACTGCGGTGCCGAGATTATTGCCGCCTGGGTTGGAAAGGGGAAGTAGAAGTCAGGAAGCAGCTGAGTGGAGGGTGGAGACCCAGGAAGAGGAGGCGTTGGGGAGGGAGAACCAGATCCAGGCCTGGGTTCGTCCCAAGTCCCCGCCTCCATTCCATCTCAAGCCTCTGAGCCTTTGCTCAGGCTGTTCCTTGAACCTGGAACACCCACCCCCACCCCTTCTCCAAAGCACAAACTCCTGCTTGACCTTCAACAGGATTCTTTCCTTCCTTGTGCAAATATCCAAGACCTCCAGAGAGTCACCCTGCTCTGCAAAGCCCTCGCTGAATGGAAAAGAGCCCCTCTGCCCCCTAGGGTTTATCACTGAGTGTTGTCGGTGGCTGTTTAGTTTTCTGTCCCCAGCACCCAGCACCTGGCTTGGCACGAAGTTTGCACTCAAGAACTCCTGGCTGCCCACTCAGCGTGAAATGACAGCTCTCACTTAAAATCTCCCCTCCCCTTGAAATTCCACCACGCGAGTCCCATACTCAGGGGAAAGCGCTCGTGACCTGGAGAGCACGCACATCTCCAGCACAGAAGGGCACGTTCTCAGATGCCTGAGCTGGGCGGCACATCTGTGATACTGCACTCGGGGCTACAGTACTCACAGGTGTGCTTTTGTAACCTCACCTACAGAGGAAAGAGGGCGGTATTCTTACTTCCTTTTGCAGGTAAAGAAGCAGAGTCACAGGGTAAGGTCACATGCTCCAGGCCACACAGGTAGGACTGGGATTTGAGCCCACATCCAGGGCTCCTTAGGTAAGAGAGGAGTTCACCTGCCTGGGCCACCATTATTGAGAATACAGCTTTGGGCACCCCCACCCCACCCCCCGCCCTGCTCGACCACCCCCAGGGTGAAGGCTGGATCCCATTAGCAGGTGGAGATCGACTTCCTGGACTGCCCCAAGCACACCTATCTGGCTGTTATCCTCCTTACCGTCTCTTCTCAGTGCTCTCCTTCCAGTCTCCTGCAGCTCCTGCCAGCTCTTCTGTTGTTGATGTTGTTGAATAAAACATTCAAATACAAAGAAAGTTCAAGCCACCTTAAATCCCCCAACCCAGAGACAGCGTCTGTTAATATGTTAGTGACCATTCTCCCATCATGTGTTTACGTCCCAGGCGTCAAATGGGTGAGCCAGAAGTCAATCCACCCATTTTTTTAGCTTTCACCTTGTTCTCCAGCTCAGCATTTTGCAATTAAAAAAAATGATTATTAATATCACACAAAAATGTATAAATCCAGCTATTCTTGGAAAACAGAGATCTGGCCATTCTGGACGCCTGTGTCTTCATGGCAACAACGGTCTGCTAGAGCTGAGGACCAGCTGCCCACTTCATATGGGACAAGCCTCTCTGTTTTGCCACAGTCCCCACCATTCCCTGTTTGTCCCCAACTAGGTCCACTTCCCTCATTTGCTTACCTGCCTGACCCCTGTGAGAATTCAGGTTGACAACCCCTGCTGTAGGCATCTACAATATAACAGCTAATATTTATCAAAAAACCACTCCAAGCCAACCATCATTCAAACATGCTTGATATCGGTTAATTGTTTAGTTCTCACAGCAACACTATGAGGTGGCATTATTATTATGCCCATTTTACAGATGAGGAAACTGAAGCTCGGGGAGGTTATGTCAATTGCCCAAGACCATGATGAGAAAGTGGCAATGTTGGGATTATAACCCAGGCAATCTGGCTCCAGTTTGCCTCTGACCTCCATGCTATAGATACATACACTCAGCTCTATGTTGAGAATAATTTTCCACATCAATCCATATAGTCTAGGGCCATCTGTATAATAAAAACCAAAGAGACAGAAAAGACCAGAACTTACCCCAAGATAACAGGAGTGGACAGCTGTTTTTATCTGCTCAGTGTTTCTTCCTTTAAGGAACTGCCCTTCTCCTGGTGGTTCTGGTGGGATTGTCCATCCCCTCACCTTCCTTCTGACCACTGGGGCTGGGCGTGGGACCCAGGCCTGAAAAATCATGGTGCTCCTCTTATACTGTTGCAGTGATTAGTCCAGAGATGGGCACGTGACCCAGGCCTAGTCAATCAAAGTCTTTCCCTGAGAATTTTTTTGATAGGCCCTCTTTCTGAAGTCAAAGGTGATCTGATGTGAGCCTGGAACTGTCTGTGGCCAGACTGGCTGCACTATGGAGAAAACCCATCTGAAGCCATACAAAGAAATAGCCAAGACAGACTGAGAGAATAAGAGAAAGGGAGTGTGTGTGTGTGTGTGTGTGTGTGTGTGTGTGTGTGTGTGTGTG